TGTATAATCTTTCATTTGTTCTAAATATATTTTTTTAATTAAAAAAATATTTGAAACGTATGTATTTTAATTCTAAAGAAAACATGTGTTAAATATTGATCGGCAAATATAAATAATTTATAATATATATTTATAATTAATTATGGAATAAAAACAAATATTAATGCTTTAAATAAGTTAATATTTCTGCAATCTCTGGTGATCTCCGCATAAAATCAAAAGAAAAATTTTTGATTTAATGAGAAATTATATAATGTACATACATAAAATTAATTAAAAATATTAACCATTTTTATCTTTGCATAATCATATTATGTTTCATTCATAGGTTTAACTACCGCTTTTGATTTTATTTTTATTTCTCTTTATAAGAGAACTTTATAACATGGAGAGTGTGTTTTAGAAAAAATAATTGAAACATGTGAATGCTTTAATTAACACTTAATGCAATAAATTAAGAGAAAAGAAACAGAGACATTTTTTCTTTCATAGTTAAATTAGTCTAATTTCAAGAAACGTTTATCGTTTAAATTTCTATGGTTTTTATTAAGCACGCCTCACAATGCCACGTTTCCCAGACAACGACCCTCCAGAGATCGTGCCGCAACAAACGATACATTATACAGAACGGTCCAGAATTGGGTCGCGGAGTGTAAATTAAACAAACTGTGCAAATGCACCCGTTGCGCGGTAGAGCAAGCGCATATTTTGCTGCAGATGGCACAGTCCAAAGGCATATGCGTTATGCGTGCTATGCAACGGATTTATTTTAGTTACAATGCGGACGGTCTACCGTAAAGGATTAAATAAATTTTATCCCCCTGTTGATCTAATTACAGAAAATCGTATCGCGCACCAACTTTAATACAAAGAGGAGATTATTTTGTCGCTACATGTTTTTTCACCATTGTAACATCACAATAACGAGATGTTGGAGTTGGAAAAAAGGGCGATATATACAGTTTTTCTGTTATTATTGATAATATACAGAGAGCAAATGTTAAACAACAAATGAATCGTGAAAATAAATTTAATTAATATCGATGCTAGGTTGCAGCGAAATGATGAAATAATACACAAAAAAGAACACAAACAAATAATATTTTTTTTTATTCTGGAATGGAAGGTTTCGCGAGTTACAAGCAAAAACCACTTTATAGAACACGCATGAGTTAGATATGCCGAAAATAGTGTGGCGTGCGAAAATCCACGGAAGTCCAGGAAGTCCCGAACAATGCAACGATTCCCGGTGTCGCGTCTGAAGGAGGAAAGGGAAAGGGAAGAGGAAAGGGAAAAATTCTGCAGGAAGTTCATGAAAAATTCCCAGTTAGTACCACCGCTTTGCCAGATCATCTCGCGCCGGAGAATCCATTATTCTTGGGTGCAAAAGTATCGCTTCCGCAGCCTTGGAAATTATTTGGCGCGAAAGTGTTCTTAATCCTCGCTACACGTGTTTCCATTGAGCATTGTCACACAACTGTGAAAGTGAGGCTCGCGAAAAGCTCATTGAAAAGTTTATTAAAGTGTCAATGTAATTGAAAGCAATTATCTGTATCGCATTTTTCTTTAGAGATTCTCACGACAATATACATTTTTATAATAAATTAATATTTGATGTAAAGCAATAAAAAATAGTAAAACAAAGCAATAAAAAGCTTCAAAAGTCAATCTCTGTATCAGAAAATTATGTAAAATAAAGTATAATAAAATAGAGCAAAAGAGGACAATATTAAAAAAAGAACATATTTTAGAATGGAGTAATTTCTAAAAAATATTGCAAAAAAAATAAAAAATATAAAAAAGAGGAAAAGAGGACAAGAAAATTATTAACCAAAATGAAATAAGGTTCATATAATTAAAATCATTAATAAGAGAAAAAAGATAAATACCGCAATGATAATCCCGCATTAAGAAAATACACGTAATTAATAAAGCTTTCATATAATTAATGTAGCTAGATGCTAAATTGTCGAGTAAATTTTTAATTTCTTTCGTACTTGGAACGTGTCATTGTCTAAAAGTTTGCTACTTCTGCGACTTCTCTCGTTCCGAACCGGACATCTCTGGTCAGGACGTCCGGCGGGGACAAGAGCAGAAGAAATTAAATTTGTCCCGACGTACGAGAGTGCGGTACAATGAGCCGAATGAAAAGAAGAATTTTCTGCCGACCATCAAAAGCCAGCAAACAAAGTATTCGTGATAAGTCGCTCAAGAGCGTCGCGAAAAGAGTAATCCGCAAAAGCGACGGACTCTTTCTTTCTCACAAACTCAGCAAATTTCACAGAAAGCTATAAGAATTCACTTTCATAACGTAACATATTGTAGCGCCGTAATAAACAAGTCGCCCAGTTATTTAATATGACAGCATTTGTCTCGAATGTTTCTTCCGTTTTGTTTGAAAATTAATTTTAATCTCGTTTGTAATTCATTTGCAATGAATTCATATCATTTCAATTGAGCCTTTAGTTGCTTCTCTGTGCTATAAATATGACAATTTAAGTTTCATTATTGAGATAATGGAATAAACGTGCATCCATCGTCCGGTATCGTCCAGTGTCGCGATGACCAGTATTCGGCGGTATCTGGCGAGGATGCAGTAGGACGCATTCGGATCGATACGGAGAGGATACCGCATCACGTAAGCGAGATTGGTCGGATCCGGTAACTCGCTCGCTCGTGACCCGAGCCAGCTGCGACCTTGGCCCGCATTTTGGAGATGCAGCTGCGCGCATGCCGCTACATGCATACCCGAATATGTCCATTCTCGTGCCTACGTGATCATTAAATTATATCGCCCAGGGAGCCGCATGTTAATCTCGATATCATTCGTATGAAAAATAATATTAATTCAAAGATGTAAAAGGTAAATAAATTCTAAGTGTCAAATGAATCCCTCGAATTACGGATTCATTGTATCGTAATAATATGACTGTGAAATACTTTCGATAAAACTTGGGCTATCGATAAATGATATTTCATTGAGTAATAGAGTATGATATTTTCTCTCATGTATGTTCGAGTTAATATTAAAATATGCATTTAAAAAAATAAAAATGCATTTGTATCTCGCAATCGGTGACGAGTCCGGCGAATTATACATGCGGATAAAAAGCCAGCAAGAAATTAATCTGGAGGACCCGCAATGCGTACGTTAAGCGAAGCTGCGGAAAACAAAGACAAGTCCGCCAATCAATATTCTGTGAATAGTTCTAATCAAATGGGATAAAAATAAACTGTTTACCGCGAGTATGAGTGAGCTTTCATGATATTTTCTTCTCTTTGTTTTCTTTGTGTGTGCACATAATTGTTTTCTCATAACACGAGACGTCATGCCTTGCGATATTCAATACCTCGAAGTGACAGGACGGTTAGAAAAAATTATTATTTTTTCACGACGAAACACACCTTGATTGAGTTCAATTAAACGTCCGAATCCACGGTTTTTAATCGACAGCCGAATTTGTGCGGGCGAACAAACATTTGCAAATGTCCTGATGTTCTTGCACACAAAAAAAATATCATTTTATATCTTTTTGAACTTGCTGAATTTGGTGTTATGTAAACGACACGCGCAAATAGTGACGAATGCTTTGATCTTCGAAAATGGCTGCGCATTCAATGAGCGCTGTCGCTGAATCATTAACCGATAAAATGTGAGCGTGGAAATTCATATGGTTCAGAATATCGGCTGAAATGGAATGATGTATTCAGGAAATACCGCGAGTTTATGTTCGGAAAAGGAACAAATGCAGCTGATCGGCGGCGCACAGGTGCGCGAAACTTTTGCGGCTGGCTTAATGAAATATTCCATTCAATGGTAATGTTTAACTATGGACTGACTCTATCAGCAGCAGCAGTACGGAATAGCCAAGAGCGCAATTAGTTCTATCGCGCGCGCCATCTCATCCCTTTCTCTCGATCAAAGTTCAATTTTTTATACGCCCTCCCACTCGTGCCAGTACTGAGATTCTTCGAGCAAATGGAAAATTAAATTACATTAAATTAGATTGGATTTGTTACGTATATATACTCTTTATATATAGACTCGAAATCTCGCTCGAAACATTTCGCAGTTTTTTTCAATTTATATATACAATTATATTGTATACACAGTTTAATATTTTTGAAAAAGTGAAAAATATTGAAGAGGAGATGTATAGAATTTATCAATATTTTACAACAAAATCTAATAAGGAATTTAAACAAAACAATATAAATGTGAAAAAACCGAGAAATCGAATGGCTGATTGTATAAGGATGCAACATTTCGGGCGTTGCCGCATCGCATCTCTAACTTCGCATTTCGTCCAATTCTCTATTCCGCTTGCGCGATGTCCAGCGGCGACCTTAACCCGAACAATCCTGAGTCCACGACGATGTTGGAGCCTCGTGCGCGCAATAACGTACGAGAGAGGTTAACGACAAATGGACAGGTCAATAGAAGGAGTCGAACTGGCGCGAGTAAGCCTCTATACCAGAACTACATAATGTGTCCGGACCAATCCCACTTTCATGGCACAGCCGAGCTCGGTGGACTCGATGAGCCCTTGATCCATCGGCAATTAACTCGTGCGAACCGGTTCGACCGCAGCCTCCACCGTTTATTCGCGACCCTTCGAAAATAGCCGTCCGATACACGCGATTTATCCGTTTTATTTAGCTTACTTTAGAAATTAACGTAATCAGGTTCATCACACGATTACACTCGAGTAATCGCTGAAAATCGTTAATCTGCGCGACAAAAGCGCATTTGCTGGCTACATGTAATGGGTTAAAGCTTTTGAACCCATAAATTCGCACGCGTTGTCAAAAAGTAGTCTGTCGTGCAATAAACGAACAGACCGACGAGATAAAAACTCGATGTATCTCGAAAATATTTCGATGCGACCAACGAGTGAGAGAAAACGCGCCAATATTTGTTAAAAAATCTTTGAAAAGATGACTAACGTGACTATTCATGCTTCGCAAAAAAAATGTTGAGCAAAGGTAAAGTGACTCACCGTGAGACATCTTCCTGCGATACTGCCCGTGGTGTTCCAGCGGCTTGGAGAGCTAGGGAAGACGCGTGACGTGATTCCTGCGAGTACGGTAGCGTCGCGGTGTTGTTTTCTAGCGCCGACACGGAACCGTTTTGCTTACCTGTTGGCATATACAGAAGATATTCTCTTTTTTATTTACCATTATTTAACCCCTCACCTTTTATGTGTATGCGCGAGATAGGCGATTGAAATTGTGTCGAGAGAGAGACATTTTCGTCGACGGTGTTTACATCAATATTGCTTTGTTTATATCGAACTTGCTCGACATGAAATTTGACTGCCACAGTTTTTAACTGACATACGTATTTTCGTAAATTTACTCTTATAATAAATAGAATATTTATTGAAATAACGTATTTCTAAAAATAAAGGAACTTATTTACGATAATAATTGAATAAAAATAGTAATTAGCTCTATTAAACTTAATGTTTGTGAACAAAGAAGGGCTGTAAGAGCTATATTAAACAAATTGCAGTTGTCAGATAATCTTAATAAAATTCATTTAAAACGAGAAAATAAATACATAAGAAATAAACATTTATGTGTAGATGATATTAATAAAATGTATTTTAAAATGAGAAAATAAATATATAAGAAATAAAACAATTATGCGAACGTTTCGGCTGACATTTCAAGCCTTCTTCAGCGCAATACAAATATTTTAATTATAAATTAGAACGTGATATTAAACATTAAAGACGGTAGTTAACATAGTCAAGATAATAAATGATGTAAAGAATTGAGGCATGTGATGTAAAGAAAAGTAGAAAATCCTGATCTATTTTTATTAATTTTTATTATAAGATAATTCCATTTTATTATCATGATATTTTCACGAGTTTTTCGTCGATTATTTTTTATGAAGTATAAAAAAAGGAAATCAGTAAATAAGGTTGAAAATAGCGATCTTAATCTAAAGCAGGCTTGTTTATTTACGTCGACGCTTCTCTGGGAAACTCACTGCGTTCTCGCGCGACTGCGCTGGGAGATTAAAGCAAATATTTGGATAATCATTCTGCGGGGCACCGATCTACCACGGCATTAAAGGGACAATTTGAATTCAGTCGGCAACCAGCAGTTAACCACCAGCTTTTTTCACTCGTGAACTGTGCTGTTGTATATTTTTTCCGTTTGAAAAAGCAGAATATTGTCGCTATAAAAAAATCCCACGACAGGTTTTAGCTTTAATATTTCGGGAAGCGATCTTTCTCTTCGTTCGTGAAAAGAGAACAATAAAGAGAGATCTTCCACTCGTAATAGTAATCGATCTCTTTATATTCATTCGTGATTCTCGCACATACCAAATTACGGAGAGCGTTTCGTCAAATCGCGAACGACTCTTCCTCTTTTTTGTCGACGTTTTCCCGTACCATCGAATTTTAACATCGCACTCTCGAGATTTCCCCGATCGGACATTTCAGACACGCGTGTGCGCCGCATTCGTATAGCCCGCGCGATAAACGGAAACGGGAGATAAGACCGCCTGCGGGAGCGCGCGCGATTCAAGGTGAGTTTACGAGCACGGTTTTACGAGACCGATGAATAAGTTACGGCCCGATCGTCGGTAAAGCCCGGCTGACGCGGAAGACTCGCGGATCAAAAATTCATTTCCGCATCCCTTGGAAGCGGAAGGTTCGTCCGGGGTTTCTTTCCAGGGAACCCCACGGTGACGAGAGTCGCGGTTCATTTGAATTTCAATGCGCCGCGACTTTGAATAATTAATAAAAGACCGTAATTATTGTTCCAATCGCGGGACCTTGTGCGATGGAAAAGAGATGAAAAATATGATTGCGAAGACGGTGGGACAATTTTTGCCAAATGTCGGTTATTAAATTGAATATGACTGCGCAATCTCGTCGGAATAAATCATAGAAATAACGAAATAACATCACAGTCTCTACGAAATTGCCGTTGCGTTTATATTAAATATATTATATAGAACATTCTGCATTCAATATATGATATTATTATAAGAAATAAAAAATCAGAATATATTACAAAAATAGAAATTAAACATCATATAATTTATAAGATCTATTCAATCTTAATGGAATCTGACATTTGTTCAAATTTCATGATATACTGATCAATCTTTCGTTGCGTGAAATGATTATTACCGATTTGCTACGTTCTAATCTCATTAGACGACAGCTTATCTACGAAATACATGTAAAACTGATTACTTACGTGGCTGAGGCGAAAGAGAATTGTCCGTTGCTATTGGAGGAGGAGGCGGAGGTACGATCCCACTTTCCGGTTTGGCGACCAGAAGTACGACGCGATCTTGGGTCGCCTTCAGGGTCGCCACAGCCTCTTCGTGTGTCACGTTCTCCAGGTTTTTATCGCCCTGCTGAAATCAACGATGATTCAGTATTTTAGCGTTATACGCTCTTCTTCAATCGCGCGCATTTAACATTGAATCATTGATCAAGGGCAGAGGAGATATATTTGAAACATTGCCAGTATCTATCTATTTCTTCGCAGTTCGAAATTTCAAGCGACACGTCACCAATAATATCCATCTATAGAACGAGTCGTTAGAAATTAGCGTATAATTCCTAGTGAAATCCTGTAGCAAAATATAGATGGCAATGAACAAGAGACACATTTCTGCATTTATGCCTCGCATCCGTATTCATTCACCGCGCGATTTATTCGCTTCTCGCGTAGATATCATTCACTGGGAAATGTCCTACTTTTCCGTCCTGTTTATCGAGAAACCGGCTGAAGAAAGACTGTTTCTGAGATACGAACTTGGCACAATCGTGCGACGTACACAAACGACTCGATCGCAGTGCCGTGAGCATTCGATAATTGATTTTCGCTTTCAATTTCCCCTGTCAACCTCTCTCTCGTTTCTCTCTTTCCTTTTTTCCCTTCCTCATTCGTTCATCGCAATTGTCTCCCTTGAGACAAAGACAATCGCGATTATTACCGCGCTGACGCGCATTGAAAGACGATTAACGAGGAAACTGCAACGCGATTCTCTCCAGTGGATCGCTAATCTGTGATTTAGTCACGCTTTAAATTCAAGTATATATAGGAAGAAACATATATAATAAATATATATATCGTAACCATGACAGAATTTGATTTTCGTTAATAACATTAAACAATATTTATTATGCAACTATTTCAAATTATATTCCCATTATTTTATCTCAACGACTATAAAATTTTATATGTAATTCCATTAAGTTGAAATAACTCTCTGTAAAGAAACTCTCTTTGCAGAAATTTTTAAATTTATATGGAGAGGGAGAATATATTTGTTTAACAAAAATTATGTACGAGGAGAGGCTTATGATCGCAATGTAATCAAGTGAGATCGAAAGTTCTTGTTCTTAAGAAAAACCGGCGGTTAAAGTGCGGATAGGAAAAGTAGATTAGGTTTTCCAAGACGCCACCAAAGTAATTGATAGCTCTTCCATCAGCATTATACAGCTGGCGTTATATGGCAGACGGCAGCTTTCGCTAGTCTACGATTTTTCGCTTCGGCGATTTCACTACCTTTACGGCAGCCTTTTGGGAGCCACGCCAAAAAAGCGCCGATTAAAGCTACCGCGAACGAGTCAGCTGGCTTGATTTATGACTATCGTTGGAGAGTGAAGTGCAAAATGCGCGCGTACGATCGAAAGACGCTTTCTCTCCTCCCTCTTTTTTTTTTTTTTTTTTTTTTTTTTTACGGAAGTGCGTTGAAAGTCATAGCTTTTCATGCCACATCGAAGGTGGCCATCGGATTTTTGTCGATTATGAAACTAATCGAAATCTGAACGATTTCTCCATCTTTCCATAATATTCCATATCCTTCAATTTTATTTACAAAATTTATTAGAATTTTTTTGTCTTTCGCAAAACAATATATAGATACTAGAAATAAATATAAAGCGTTAAAATCTTACTGTAAAATAATTTTAGCCTTTAACTCGGCAAAATTATAGAAAAATAAACTTGAAATTACGTTATTGCTCAATCAAGAAAAACATTGAAAATATTTCCATATCAAAAGTTTAATCGAATCCTGATCCACTCTAAAAAAAAAAAAATAAAAAATAAAAAAGAGAAATCCCTCCATTATAAATTTTATAATTAGATGGAAGAGAAACTTGTGTGACATGTTCCGTGGAGGATGTTAAAAAATACTTTTGTTATTTTTGGCAATCCAATAGAACGTATCCCAAGTTTTTCTCTTCACGGATTATAAAATATAAAATTTATAATAAATAGAGTTTACCTGGGGAATAGATTAGAGCGCAATTAAATTTTCGGTATGGAAATTTGTTCACACAATCAGCTGTTTACGACAGTGTCCCGAAACTTTCTTGCCGCTTACGTTTAATTCTTCCGCGTGGCAAAGTAATTATCGATCGTAGGGTAATTAGTTTTAGCGTACGTAAAAGTCCAAAGTTTTCGAGAGTAATTATAAAACTCGAAATACTTTTCAGACTCGCTCGAGCATAGGTACTATAAATTCATGTTTTTTTTTCATGCGATTTATATGCGTATTTTCCAATCGTAAATATACATTTTCTACACTTTCAAAGACCGCTTTTATTTCTGTTTCGAACTATATTTCAAAGTCGGTAGAAGATTCACGATAGAATCATCAGACTTTATCAGAGCCGCAATCGAAATTATCTTTATACTTTCTCGATATTTTTGGTAACCCTTGGGAGAAGATATAGATAAGAGGATGATTTGCCATAAAGCCCTAGTTTCTCCAATTATTATAAAATTTAAAAAATTATATGGATAAAATTTTTGAGAACGAGTTGAAATTTGATTAAACTTTTAACAATACTGAAATTTTTTAAACAATAATGTAAAACTTTCTCACAGGGCCTATATTTTATTCATATAATATGAAAATATATTTTATTACTCAAATATTACTTCGCTCAACGTATATTATTAATTTTCATTTTTTGGACAGCAATCTAAAAAAAATAACATATATGACTCACACGACACGTGCGTCATTATAAAGTAATCAGCCTCTTATAGAATATTTTATCGCGAGAAAGGAATTCTACAAATTACTTATGATATTTGGAAAGGTAATGCAATCTATTTACACATATCTCTACATTTATCTTTCTACACGAGAAGGAGAGGGAGAGAGAGAGAGAGAGAGAGAAAGGGAGAAGTTGTCATAGACATAAAAGGGTGGTTTCGCAGTCGCTCTTTCGAAATGAAAAATGGTCGCGACTTTATTTTTCTACAAACACACGTGCTCTGTTCTTCAACTGTAAAAAAAACAAGCAAAAACCTAGACGAGCTTTCAACCTATTTATCTCGAAACGAGTCGTGTTTGTGCCACACGATTCAACGTATCATATATATTTTGCAGTGCATAATTTGATTCGGACAAAATATATGTATATGCTATCTATATATTTCGGCAAAACACAAACATTTCGCGGCGCGCGAGGAACAAATGATGTGATAGATTTACTTACCAGAGCATTCCTGACGGCCACCAATTTGTCACCGACGACGAGACGACCGTCTACCTGGGCGGCTCCGCCATCCATGATTTTGGTAACGTAAATCCCATTATCGCCTGGTATATGTTGATTGCCGATACCGCCGGCAATGCTGAAGCCGAGGCCCTTGTTACCCTTGATAAGCTCGATCTCCATTAGCTGAGTGTGTCTCCGTCGACGTACGTACTGAAAATCGATGCACCAACATGACATTAATTGAGCACGGGCCTCGAAAGAGACCTCCTCGCCTCGATTAACGAGTTAATTTCGAGGAAGTTGAACGTTTTTAAATTTAAACAGCGTAATGCTCGTTTTGTTTGAGAAGCATTTAAAAAGGAAGCTCCATTTTGCGCTTTTTCATTCCCGGTGTAACAATGAATCCACGTAATTAAATGCCCGTTCGATGGCTGATCGGAGGAGATATATACCCATTCGAACTACTCTCGTTTACCCGGTGAGATTTATAAAGTGGATTTGTTCCCGTTCGACGCAATTCTCCTTAAAGGCCCGTTTATATCGCCTTTTAAGATGGTTTCGGTACGTTAATTAAACTTTGCACGGGTAAAGCACTGTTAAGTGTTACGAGATTGCCGATTGATATACCTACATTTTATCGTGATGCAAACGAGATTAAAATATTTATTAGCATTAAAATACATGAAAAATATTTTTCTCTCTATTTTTCGTAAAATCACTGATTTTATAATACAATAAAACGCGATTAAATATGAGTAGAAATAATTTAATTTCACAAATATATGCAAGGTGCAATAAATCAAGCGTTCATTATTTTATGTACCTATGCCGCAGTTTCTGCATTGTAAAATAACGATCTCATATATACCCATCATAAATATTTAAAAACTTATGTTTGGATGCAATAATTTTCACAACCATAAATTAAATTTGATTGCGAATCACTCATAAATCTAGATTGTATAAAATTGAGTTTATTTCCGACGGTCGTATTCTTGTATTAAAGATGCGTTTACGCGGAACAGGAGTAGCTGCAAAGCCGGACTTTATATCTGGATACCTAATAATAATATTTAGGATAGTCCAGCCGTAAATGCCTTTATGCCTTCCTAATTATTTCCAGAAAAAAGGATTAAGCATGCAGAAACGTTGACAAACGAATCCCTCAAGAAACATTATTTTCGAAATTATTTTTCTGGCATATTATTTCATTTGAATTTTTCGAAAACTTCATATTATAGATTTTAGAAAAATTTTTGATTAAAATTTTTATAAAACAAGATGTACACAATCTTCGATTGTTTATGCTAAACTATCCACACATCAACTCTTTTTTTCCTCTCGAAAAGGAAGCTACAGGAGTACAATCCACCTGGGAGATTTTTTTTTATCGAAGGGTGACATTAACGTATATCTAAGAGGCGCGTAACGAACGATCCCATCGAAACTTTTCCCCATTCCTCGGCGACTTTGTCGGGCTACAGGAATCTCGAAAGGCCTCGGGTGAGTGATCGTCGCTTCGGGACTTTTCTCAGGCGTATAAGCCGAAGATATTCGATGCGTCTTTATGACAAATATGGAATCCGGGAAAGGCCGTCAATCTCGCGAAACTTTCTGCGACTCGAAATGTCGCCGTGAAATTGATGACATTGGTAAAAAAAAAAAAATCGCAAGCACTTTGACGAGAAAGCGGAACGAAGAAAGTTCGCGGTAAACTAAATTGCGAAAAAGCACGCGCGATAACCGCATGCAAAATGATTAAAATGACAAGTATGAAACAGAGACAAATCCGATGGTGAAGTTATACACGAAGTATCATCGATATCTCTATATTTGACGGAGACTGCAACGCGCATCTTACTAAATAAACAGCAATAATATACTGATAACGTTTGCCTAATATACAGTTAATTAAGCACTCGGTTATTAATTATTGGCAGATAGCTTAGAAATTGCATATGCATACGCAGCGCAAGTTTAACAGCAGAAAGCACATGCGTTACAACATTTGCAATTCAATTATTCCTGACACATTCGTCGTCAATTAAATCCGCGTACTTGAGATGCGCACATGATATGGCATATGATCGTAGTGTGTAATAATGTGCCGTCCTTTTAACGCCTGTTCAATTCAGTTAAATTCAGATTTGACGTTTGCATGCGTTCGCATACGGTGTCATGCGTCAATTAACGTCAATCTTTTGGGAATTGCATTTTTTCTTTCAACGTTGTAACTCGCGTTTTATAATAATTTGTAAATAGATAATCATTAATTATATAGAAATCGAGACACAGTACTCCTTTTTTTATATAATTATAGATATATAATGTAAGTCATATCGAAATGTACAAATGTAGGCGAGGCCTCTGAGATAGCGATAACTCTATCTCTCGACAATTAAGTAATGCACTTTATTAAAGTTAATAAGAACTCGATCGACGTAATTAATTTATTCATCAAAAGTTCATATTTTATGCATCAGTTGCTCATTTATATGCCATATCAAGAGTTCTTGAAGTTCGAAAGTTTTTTACTATAATTTCCTTTAAGGGAAAATAAATTAAATATAAATGTAAATAATCACCTACATATTAGGAAGCGGAATTTTTTGGTAATAATTACATTCTATATATTTACAAGTTTCTATAATCTGTTTCATTTCCATCCCTATTTTTTCATTCACTTTTTACTATGTTTCTGTAAATTTCAGCGGCTATATATATTAATTTTAGAAATCAATTTTTAAAAACTGCCTGAGAAGGCAATCTGTACTTGATATCTAAAGTTATATTAAACTTTGATTTGGAGGTTTTAACTAAAAAAATTAGAAGCCAAAAAAGAAAGTGTATATATTAATATTTTTTGAAATACCTCTACTGCTGCTTTAATTAAAAGCTTTGCAGCTGTCGAGTGCTCACAAGTGCGCTCGCAGGTAGAACAAACGCTGCAAGAGCGTCCCAATGGGAACAAGTACATGCATATTACGCGTAATGGAATTAGAGGGTAAAGCTTACCAGCTTGACGGTGTTGCCGGCCCGTTTCAGCGCGTCTACGGCGGCCGCATGCGGTACGTCGACGACGGACACGTCGTTCACCTGCAGTATCGTGTCGTTGACACGTAGGCGGCCATCCGCGGACGCGGCGCCGCCCGGTATGAGCTTAGTGATGTAAATTGCAGTATCGTTGCCGTAATGCGGATTGTCGGTGCCGCCGGCGATACTGAAACCTAGGCCCGCCCCTCCTCGTTCCAAAACGATCTCCTCGTACTCCCAGTCGTCATCGCCATTCACCTGAAAGCATAAACGCGTGCGTGTGACATTATTTTTATGTTCCTTATGTATCTTCAGGAAGAGGGTGTCCAGCAGACTTAATGAAAAAATTCCCTGAATTTTTAGTATTATTTTTTCCAAATATATAATTTGCATATATCTATATAGTAAATCAATTTTAAATGTTGAATCATGAAATTCTTGAGATATTTTTGTCAACAATGAAAAGGTTCGGAAGTTGAATGAAAATTTAAATCAATTATACAATCTGTATTATATGTACGATAATCGAAACGAATATGTAACTATAAATTATTTAAATAATCACTTTTTATTTATATTATATCAATTTTTTAATTTTGTCTTTGTCAAACACATTGAAATAAAATAACACGACGATGAAAATATAAACTAACGAACACGCTGTAGATGAATCGATTTTTAACAGCAGAAAATTAGCGTGCTGGGAGTCAAGGAAAAGTTTGACAAATGTAGAATAATGTGAAAAAATCCAGATAAATGGTAAAATTTTCTGACTTTTCACTGACAATTCCAGATTTATAAAATTCCCCGACAATGCCCGGTTTTCCAGATTTTTCTTACCGATAGACACCCCGTATAAGTTTTATTGTGTGTGAACACAAAATTTGTTTGTTAATTTTTGAAGTAATTAAACATGGCAAAAAATTGTCGAGGGTCACAGTAATCAAATAGAGTGTCTTATTAAATCTTAATCTAGAAAGAAAGTGTTCTTCTCTGACGAGGGTCTAGGCTCCGCACGACAGTTCAGAGTCGTGGGGGTATCCACAATCCTAATTGCATGGGGAACTTATGCTCTCCCTGCGCCAGGGTGAGGTTAAGCGGTTAATTGATTTTGAGCCTCACATGAGAGAGTAGATTAGGTTGTGCACCGTCCCGATCGATGGCGGTCGGTTACGCTGGGACAAAGCAGGTCGTTTAAGCCCTCGACATCAGTTGACGCGGCGTTATAGATCGAAACACTATTCCGTTTATATTCCAACAAGGCAGCGCACATTGTTTGCATTGTGCATTGTATGCAGGATGAGTGATAAAGAGTACGTTTGCAGTATATACTATACTCTCTTTGAAGAAAATTAGAATACTTTTTCAATGATCTGGTTTCAGCAGAAACGAATTCGAGCGAGATTGATATTTGCGAATTATTCATTGATTCATTTCGCGTAAATTTTATCGTCGTTACAAGTCGACGTTATAAATTGATGCACGTGCAAAATTCTGGGAAGCATGGCGTTTGGCTGGCTACGAAACTCGTTACCCGGTCGAGCGTTTTAAAAGACCTCATCGTCTAATTAACTTTAGGCAACGTCGACGTAAAACATATTATATTAATATTCCGTGACGATGGGATAAAAAAAGATCGGTCGTGCGAGAATCAGTATCGTCAACTTTCTTGCTTTTAAATTTGGTGTCAAGGTAAGCCAAGTCAATTAAAATTTAAAAAAACACATCAATCAAGATAAAAAAAAAAGGAAAGAAAAAAGAGCATTCGAAAAAATGTAATATACATCATTCTTTACACACCCGAGAATGTATTGTAAAAAATGTGAACAATTGTGTAAAATAAAGAATAATAAGAGCCCTATAACGCGAAATATTATTATGCGATCACAAGCGAAGGCGAATTTAATTAAATCAGTCGAGAAAAGCGGTGGAAAACTTATATACGATTAACACGATCCCCGGAGGATTACACACCTAATGAAGTAACACAGGATTTCCTGCAGGAGAGCAAACAGTAAAGGCCCTTCACGCGCGCGATCGCGCAATATAATTATCCGCAATCCACCAGAACGTGCAAAACCATTTTAATCGGATCGGAAGCCAAGTAAGCCATAGAATAATATGCTAGGCGAACACGTTCTCGCACTACAATCTATTGCACGTCTCTAAATGCGTGTCAGTGTGTTGCGATACGTTTACATTCGATACAATCAAACGGTACGATTCAATGGAGTGTCTTTGGATATGCATTATATAGATTACAGTAGATTAAAATTTACACCTATGTTAAATTAGAAGATATTGTCACCGTTGATGTATTATTGATATCAATATTTGTTTCTAATGGATACATTCGAAATGTCTCGTTTATATCTTGCGTAGAAATTAAAAAATCGAATAAATAAATAATTTTTTTATATCAATAATAAGGTTTATATGCTCGTGAAAAAGATTTAGCATGAAAATCGCGCAACAATCCTCGAGAAACGACAGCTGCAGCGATCGGTTCTTCCTAAACCATCGGCATCAAAGCGTAATACTCGACAGCGTATCAGTTGCACGTTGGATTCTTTGTACATCTCACCGAATGCTACCGTATAGAGGGTTAAAGGCCTCGCAGAGAACGCACGAAACCGATGATCATCATCGCAATTATGCGTCTAGCCGCGTACGTGCCATTCCGATCGCGTCAGTTGTTAGCGCAAACAGATCCGATACGGAAGGCGAAAGGATGATCCGCGATGCGGCGAAATTCTCCATCTCTCTCCCGCGCACGCGCATATATCGGAATGCATCTCTGGATGCATTCCGATGCGCCTGCACCGGCCGACGCGCGTGCAGATTTGACGCACGCAATGCGATAGCTCGATGCATATATCGCGGAAATTAATCGCCCCGGAATTATGCTATTCTGTTAAAGCTCTTCCCCCTATTCTTCCTCCCTACTATCCCATCCCTTGTATCTGCAACAACGTCACCGATCGCGGCCCATCAACGTCGCGCCGCGGCAATTATGTCCGCGCGAGAATTAGCCGGCGATTAACGACGCGATTATGCAGCCGCGCTAATTAATTGTGCGACGAAAGGGGCTCTCGCGCGATTCCGCGCGCGCTCTACCGCAGCGGCGTTAGTTTATCCGATTTGTTTGACGGCTGGTTACTGGCGTCGATAAATTGGTCTGCGCGTTTCGCGCCGATGCATACCTCTCGTATCTGCGGCGGCACAGATCGACCCGCGTCTGTCGAGCCACGGTTTCAAGGGAATGCGTACCGAAATAAATTAATATGGCGCTCATTTTTTCTGGACATGACAAAGTATTATGTGTTTTTTTTTTATATAACTGAAAATTGTTCGCTCTGAAAAATTCATTATTTTCAAATTTTCGCGAAATTTCATCGCACAATTTCATGCAATTAATTTTTTCGTAATATATATATATATATACATTTATATTACAAAATTATTTCTTTTATAGATTAGATATGCTGTAAGATTATGCTGGACCGAGTGCATTAATCAAGAACAGCTAGTTACCATTTTCTGAATCCGATTGACCATGGTGGCAATCATTATCCGATCAACCATCAAGTGGATATCCTCGACATCATCCTACCACTCGCGTGAAAATTAATAACATCAATGTATTGGGTTGTTCAAAAAGTCATTGCGTTTTTTTCCAATAGATAGCGCTGTCCACATTTATTTGTATCTGAGCGTGCCATGAATGTCAAATGTTTATGCACATTTTGTTGTTGACACTTAACCTAAAAACCAAAAAAAAAGTTGACGCAATTTAGTCGAGTTTTGTGCTTGCAATTGTAGTTTAAACATGGAGAATTTTGAAGAGCATATTCGCCATATTTTGCTTTATTACTTTAAAAAAGGGAAGAAAGCAACTGAAGCAAGGGAAGAGTTGCGTCAAGTTTACGGCAGACATGTCATTGAAAAACGTCAGTGCCAGAACTGGTTCGCCCGATTCCGTGGTGGTGATTTTTCGGTTAAAGACGCTCATCGCTCCGGTAGGCCTTCCGAGATTGACGACGATAAAATCAAGGCATTGGTGCAAGCAAATAAGCATTCAACGGTTCGGGAGCTTGCTACCGCTCTAAAAGTGTCCATTGGAAGTGTTCATGGACATTTGAAATCGCTTGGTTTCGTGAAGAAGCTCGATATTTGGGTACCGCATGAGTTGAAAGAAATTCATCTGACAAAGCGTATGAACGTCTGCGATCAACTCACCAAACGCGAAGAAAACGATCCGTTCTTGAAGCGTATGATCACGGGCGACGAAAAATGGATTGTCTACAACAATGTGAGCCGAAAAAGGAGTTGGAGTAAGCGAGATGAAGCACCGGAAAGGCAAGCAAAGGCGGACATCCACCAAAAGAAAGTGATGCTGTTAATCTGGTGGGATTGGAAGGGACCAGTCTTCTATGAGCTGCTTCCACAGAATAAAACGATCAATTCCGATGTCTACTGTGAGCAGCTACAGAAATTAAGTGATGCCATCGCACAGAAACGTCCCGAGCTGATCAATCGTAAGGGTGTGGTGTTTCACCACGACGATGCGAGACCACACACAAGTTTGGTCACTCGGCAAAAATTATTGCAGCTTGGTTGGGATGTGTTGCCACATCCACCATATAGCCCAGACCTTGCGCCATCAGACTTCCATCTATTTCGCTCCTTGCAAAACTCCTTGAACGGTAAAACGTTTGCTTCTGAAGACCTCATCAAACAGCACCTTGACAAGTTTCTCGCAGAGAAAGATAGGAAGTTTTATGAACGCGGTATTATGAAATTGCCCGAGAGATGGCAAAAGGTCATTGAACAAAACGGCCAATATATTATTGATTAATGTTCATTACGTATATTAAATAAACGCACCTGAAAATCAAATGAAAAAAACGCAATAACTTTTTGAACAACCCAATACTTCCGCTCCACCAGATCCGATTATACGTGGCGATGAGTGGCGCTTCGACTCGAACAATTTCAATAGCAAGCAGGTGTTGCCTCGCTAACGTTTGACAGGTAGGATTTATTACAGACGACGAACAGATTTATACGTTTTACGTAATGCGCCGCCGATCGTCGTCATGTCTGCGCGTTTATTCATTATGACGCGATTTTTGCCTCTCTCACCGTGCGGAGGATATATACGGAATTGCATAAATCCACGTCGCGTTTTATGCGACGCGCGTATATTATCGAACGACGACAATCGACAACAAAGAGACACGCCGATGTCTCGTCTT